AAAAATCCCGTTTGCCAAATATTCAATTTGCAAACCAAGACATAATTTTGTCTTTCCGAGATCGTTCATCTCGAATTCCTTCTTTAAATAATCAATTGCCTTTTGAAGTTCTGTAGGAGTTCCAATAAGATTTATGTCATCAACATATACGGCAAGTACAACAAACTCCAATGTTGTTTTCTTTATAAAAATACATGGACAAATGGCATCATTTATATAACCTTCCTTTAATAAATATTCACTAAGGCGGTTATACCGTATTCTTCCTGATTGATTTAGACCATACAAAGATCTTTTCAATTTGATTGAAAATATTTCCCTGAACTTTGAATTATGTGCGTCAGGAATTTTAAATCCCTCGAGAATTTTTATGTATATCTCATTATCAAGTGAGCTGTAAAGGTATGCTGTAACCATATCCATTAAATGCATGTCAAGTTTTTCATGGACAATAAGACTAATGAGATAACAGAACGTTTTAGCATCCATAACAGGAGAATACGTCTCTTCATAATCGACATCAGGCCTTTGTGAAAATCCTTGTGCAACAAGGCGTGCCTTATATCTTTGTACCTCATTTTTCTCATTCCTTTTACGTACAAAGACCCATTTATAGCTAACTGTTTAACACCATTAGGTGAATCCAACTCACATTGGATTGCTTCTTGCTATTTTGGCCAATCACGTCTTTGTCGATATTCTCCAACATATTGAGGTTTAAGATCCTCATTATCTTGCATAATGCTAGATGCAACATTGTATTCAAAGACATAATCCAGCACTATATTCAATCGATTCAAATTTGTCTCAATATCGATTGGATTTATTGATAGTTCCTTATTTTCTTGAGTCTCAGGCTCATCGATATCCTTATGAATCTCAGGATTGGTTAAATCATGGGTTTCTTTATGAGACTCTTTCGTAGTGTCATCTTGATCATTTATTTTCCTTTTTCTAGGATTTCGATCCTTAGAACCCAATGGTGTGCTATGCTTTAGGCGTGCTTTTGACTCATTAGCTGTAACACTAGAAGATTGTCCAACAGGGACATCAATACGGATTGAAACATTCTCTGCAGGGATATGTAATTTCGTTATCCTTTTCAGATCCGTAAATGCATATGGCATTTGATTTGCTATTTTCTGCAAATGGATAATTTTTTGCATATCTTTTTCATAAATAGAGGCACGTGGATCAAGATGAGACAATGATGGATTTTTCCACGAAAGTTTTTGTTTGATTTCACCAATTTCTCCCCCTAATTTTGGAAAAAATATCTCATCGAATCGACAATTTGCAAATTGAGCAGTGAACAAATCTTCCATTAATATTTCGAGGTAGCGAATAATGGAGGGCGATTCAAAACCAACATATATTCCTAACCTTCATTGTGGACCCATCTTGGTGCGATATGGCGGTGCTACAAGCACATATACCGCGCATCTAAAAATTCTTAGATGGGATATATTAGGTTCATGACTCAAAATTAATTGCAACAAGGAATATTTATGATAATTTATCGGTCTGAGACGAATTAGTATTGCTGCATGCAAAATGGCATGACCCCAAACTGAAGTGGGTAACTTGGTTTTCATGAGTAATGGTCTTGCTATCAATTGCAGACGTTTAATCAAAGATTTTGCAAGGCCATTTTGAGTGTGAACATGAGCTACATAATATTTTACTTTTATCCCAATTGATAAGCAATAATCATTAAATATTTGGGATGAAAACTCAGTGGCACTATCAAGTCTAATAGACTTAATTGGATTATCGGGAAATTGTGTCTGTAATCGGATTATTTATGCCATTAATTTTTCAAATTCCAGGTTGCGAGATGACAATAGGCATACATGAGACCATCTAGAAGATTCATCTATTAAAACCATAAAATATCTAAACGACCCACTAGGTGGGTGAATAGGCCCACAAATATCCTCTTGTATACGTTCCAAAAACACTGGGGACTCAATCCCAACCTTTGTTGGTGATGGTCTAATAATCAACTTGCCTTAATAAGAAGTGCAAGAAAATTTATTATTTAAAAGAATCTTTAAATTCTTTAATGGATGCCCATTTGAGTTCTCTATAATTTGTCTCTTCATAATTTATCCAGGATGTCCCAATCAATTATATCAAAGTACAAAAGTATTGAAATTAGTAACCTTTTGGTTTACGATAGAATGTGCCTCAATTGCACTAATTCTTGTCCAATACAAGCCACAAGATAAAGATGGGAACTTCTCAATAACCCTTTTCTGGCAAGAGACATTCTTGGTAACGATAAGATATTCGAGATTATTCTCATCTATTGTCTCAATATGAAATTCATTGCGGCGGATATCTTTAAAACTCAACAAGTTCCTCTTGGACTTGGAGGAGAACATTGCATTCTCTATGATAAGTATTGTTCCCTTAGGTAGAGTTATAGTAGCTCTTCCAGAGCCTTCAATTAATTTTGTACTGCCATATATTCATCAACATCTATATGGTGAATATCTCTTCAAAAATGAATATGTATTCATAATGATTATCACATTGTTTTCACATTCACTTCAGGAATGAAACATAATAATCCATGCATGCTTTATAAAATCTCATGCCATATCAATGGCAAACATCACTTTCACAAAGTGAATGATTATTTTGAGAGCCATTATTGTTCTCATTACCATAATGATGATGATTATAATTCCGTCCATTACCACGTCCACATCCATTCATACCTCCACGGTAAAATCGTGCCTTATTTTAGACTTATGGGACGGGTTTTCACTATTGGTGGAGATTGAATTTAATTTGCATATGCGAACTTTCATTAATTGAACCCAATCAAATAAAAAGTATCAAGCAAATATAGAAAAACACATAATCAATTAAAATCTACGTGTCATAATTATCCCACTTTAAGATGGAAGAAATATGTGATAAAATTGAAAGAAAAAATATGTGCTCTCTCAAAAGTCTTCACTTCATGTTTCTTAATATTAACACATAGGAACATAATACTTGTTATAGAAAAAATATTTATCGTTCTTTACACCAAAAATCCTTACATGATTTGATGAACTTTCAAGAAAAACTTTTTCGTAAAGCAAGTTTGTTCATTTGTGGAAACATAAATAGCAAAGTGTAAAGAAACTTGAAAACTAATTAGAAAAGGCTAACCGTGATGACCGAATATATACTGGTGTTGTACACCTTATACCGTCATCGTTCTTACCATATTATTAACATTAAATGACGCTACCGGCACTGGCCGCATCATAACAATTCAGTTGGCTAGAACTTCGTGTTGATAACGTGTTATAAAATATAACTCAAAGTAATAATATAGAACAAGGAAAAACAAGCTAAGAGATATAGAGAGAAAGAGATGAGAGATTCTTATTTCTTCTTCAATTGTATGTATTTTCCTATCTATTACAAGGCTTTTTATATAGGCATGAAAAATGAAGAAAATATATCATTGAATATGCCATTAAACATAAAAAATATGCCATTAAATATATCATTAAGCATTTGAAATAAAGATCATGAATGATGAATAAACATCCACCATAATTTGATATTTCTTATAACAATATTCAGAATTTAATGCAATTAATCAGCGGTCGAGTGACAATAGTTACAAATATTATTACTACTACACCTGTACGCATTGGAATTAGTATATAATATCTTGGATGCAATTGCTGAAAAAAGTGACCCCTAATTATTGGCTTTTAGTGTTGGCCCTATCGTATGCCTTAATGGAAAGTAGCCCTTAAGTTGTTGGCATTTGAAGCAAATCATTCCATTACGATTTTGTTCCATTAATTAAACAGAAAAGCATATTCCCTTCACTTTGACAAAAGCAGAACATGTCGATAGTGTAGGACACATGACAATGCTTGGAAATTTTCCCTTACTTACTGCTTAAGTTTAATGGGGACATAATTAATATCACAAAAGTTAAGGAAAAATATAGGGAAAAAACTGAACAAATCAGAATATTGATTTTTGCGACTTTGTAACGTCTTAAAAAAAAAATTCTCTTCGGCTTCTTCTAATAGTAGGAGTTTTAGATCGAATTTCATTATGAAAGTATGTTGCTAGAGAATAAGCTTTAGGAAAGCGTTATTAAAAAATTTGGATTCTAATTTTCTGAAACAAATAGGTTGTCCCTTGGCTTTTAAATATAATGTATGCTCAATAATCTTAAAAAAGTTTTTATTTTAAACTATATTTTCACTAATGATGTAAAATCGTCTTAATTTAAACAGATGATTCCGTTGAGATTTTAGTACGCAGGACCACATTAGTAGTTTTTCTCACGGAAACAAACGCCACCACTTGGATATGAAACTTGTGAAGAAAGTAGCCCTATGAAACTTAAGTTTAATTAATTTGGTGTTTGCAATGAATTAGCATAGGGATTTTTAAGTAGACAACCCAATCCCAATTCGTCATTTGCTTCTTCGTCCAAGTTGGTAAATGCAACTTTGCAATTTTTGAAGGCGTAACACCCCATGCTATTTTTTCGTTCAATGCAACTAAAGTACTTCAGTTTACTTGTCATTTTTGTTAAAAATAGTTGTTTCAAAAATACAGTACTTAGAAAATCAAAAAAGAATTAATTATCTTTTCTCATTTTCCCCTTACTATACTAATAAATGTTCTAGAAAGAAGTAAAAAGATCAAGAGATCAAAAACAATAGTAGCTCTTATGATTAATTTAGATGATACGCAAAAAGTTAAACTGATGAGTAAGTAGGACTAGATGGAGTAATGTGGTATAACGTAAGAGAATATAATAATATAACATTGGGTAAACAAACAAATAGCTCTCGTAGCTCAGTTGGTTAGAGCACCCGTTTAGTAAGCAGGAGGTCTTGAGTTTGACTCTCAACGAGAGAAATTGAACTTTTTTTCGTGGTAGGCATTTCAAACATGACATTTTTTTCTCTTTTTATGAATTTAGAATTACTTGTTTTTTTAATCAGCCAAGGCAAAGTAACTTTATACGAAGTCGTTCACCAGCTTATATTTCAGGATAGTTACAAAATTAGTCAACAATAAAGGGAAGGGCATTCACTATAGTTATATACATTTTACATGAACCTAATATGCCATTAAATCCCTGATCAGTTCTTCCCCTTGTTTGGTGTCTCTTAGCACCCTTGCTGGTCACGCCATTTCAGATAAATTAATCCGGCACGATAATGTGTATAAGCCCCTGCCACCACAAGTACATGAAATAGTTGGTGGCTATGGCCAGCAATGTCAAATTTCCCAGGCATCCATCTTTCTGGAACTCTTAACGCATATACCAATGCTCCAACGCCATAAAAGACGCCCATCAATACTTCATAACCAGTAGTATGAAGGGCCTCAGGTTGGTTCCAATATAGAACCAACTTGTGTAGAATAGGTGCCACACCTGACATGCCCATCCCAAAAAATAGCCCTGCTCGAAGGCTTCGAAATTCTGGCTTTTGAAACACAGGAAGGAGAGAAACCAAGATTGTGCCAATTCCCAGGACAGTAATAAATCCCAAGTAGAGGTTCAAGAAAAAAGGGTAGCACATGAAGGAATAATAGACGGGAGGGTAAAATGAAGTGGATATCAAGGCAGCAATACCAGCATAGTCGAGCCTCAGCATAATGTACGATAAACGCTCTGAATGGCAAGAAAGCAAATGGCATGTGCTACTTGCTAATAAGCAAAACATTGCTCCACAAAGAAAGGCAAAGAATGGCCACCGCGTTATCGGTGTCACTAGCAATGGTGCTATCATGTTTGCAACATCTTCCTTCACACTGCGCTGCACCAATTTGAAAAGAGAAATATCAGTCACACATGTTCATATATAACCAAAAGAATTTGCTTTACCCTATTTGCACAGTATAATTATTCAACGAAGGAGATTCAATTGAACCCCCTTGGCTCCCTTTAGCTCCGCCACCTGATCAGGGTGAAAGATCTCTTGTCCAAGAAAATCTCTTGCAGATTATAGCCAATTCATATGGATGACAAACAGAGGAAGTACCAAACAACTAGGCTATTCAGCTCATCTACTCACGGAAATCCAAGAGAAACTACCCTGATTACTTCTAATTAGATCAATTCTGCTCCAAGATTAGAAATCAGCTTAATAAATGATATCAACGCCCTCATATCCCAGGAGAAATATCAATCAGAGATGATGGTTGAAAACCAAATGGTTTTATGTATCTGTTCTAGTATCAATCAAAGAATTTCCACTACTAATGACTTCTGAAAATGTTACATTTGCTCTAAACCAGCATGTTCTTCAGGAAACAGACATTCACTCTGAGTGTAAAGAGACCTAATCAGGGTGAATGGACTTCAATCCAAGAAATCTTCAGCAGATGACAGTCGGAACAAATGAATGACACACCCGGGGAACACTTAGTGACTAGGCCATTTAGTCCATCTACCATCACAAAAATAGGAGAAAAAATGTATATTGACCTAATGAAATTATTTCTGCTATGATATTAGAAGAAAGATTGATCGAGGCTAGCAAGGGCCTCATAATACAAGATTTAGCTTTCGTTGTGCAAGTAGTATGGTTACACCAATAGATATATTGACATTGTAATATCCATGATTGACACCTAAATGCTAAATCTTGTCTTGTTATTTTTGGAAGAGTAGTCATTACCATATTGGTCATCACAGGTTTGACTAAAGGAAACTTCCAAATGAAACTGATTAAGATGTCTCTTTTGAGGTCAGCTTTCTAAAAATATCATATTATTATCACACAATCGTTCTATTAGATTCTTCACATTTTGCTCACATGCAGAAACTTAAAGATTCCCTGCATCAACATATTAACAGGGGGGNAATGCACTCAATGATATTTAAGTAATCCAATCAGTGAAAAAAACTAGATATCGAGCCTTCTTCGGAGATTAAGGGTACAAAGCAAATAGGTAGAGATACAAGTTACATAGAGACTTCTCCTTGGAAATCTACAGATGTTCCAGTATAAAACGTTTTCCCCTTTTCACGCCCCAGTACTTAAACCAAGTGACAAATAATCCATTGGCTTTCCAATTACAGAAAAACAAGGTCGTTACGCTATATATCAATAGGTTTCGTAATCTCTAAAAAGGCTAAAAAAGAAAAAAGACCTCAAACTGAAGCTTTAGAGAAGATGAGACACACACATAACTCATGAAAATAACGAAGTGCTATATGTTTCTTGATCATTTCAAAGGAAACAAAGGTAATTGTAAAGGTTTGAAACTTCAGCACATGCTTACCGTGCATGAAGCAGTAATTAAGTTTCCCCTTTCTCCATGAGTAAAGTAAAATTTTCCCACTCTGATCATGCTTTTCTTTTTATTGGTGAAAATTACCATTTTGATCTTTGATTCAGAGGCTTAAACGATTAGATAAATGAACGAAGAGGAACGAAGAAACTCATTTAGCAGCGAAGAAAAGGAATGATTCAGCAGAAATCAGTAATCTACGAACTAGCTTACTCTGAAATAAGAAATTCTCACTAAGCATAACTATATTCACCATTAATGACATAAATTGAAAATGGCATTGCAAAATCTGGGATCAAGAATATGAAAGCAAACTAAAGAATAGAAGTATAGCATAGATATAGCTGAACACTCAGTGATGTTTAAGCTTAAATAAAAGAAAGAGATCCCAAGCAACAATTTCTCTAACAAAGAGGAGGAAGCCATACCAAAACACCAATATCAATACGGTTGCTGTTGGAAAATCGCTCAGGTAGACACTTAGACAGCAGTTGCAGCAAATCCTCTCGAAGTTTGTGCAAATCCGGCATATGTGGCAAAGAAGGGATACAAGGTAAAAGCTCTGCTTGTAATTTGTGTAGATCAGCCTTCCTAAGCTTTTCAGGAAGATTTTGTAAAGTCTGAAGATCCACAATATCTGGGACTTTCATTGCAGTATAAATGGTCAACACTAGGAAGAGAATGAACCCTATCAAATGCCTGCAACAAACAGAGGAAATCAAGATTCAAATAAGGAATTCTTCTTGGTTTTTCATTTATCCTCCTCAAGTTAAACCAGGATATATGAGTGAAGTAGAAAGCGGAAGAGTAAACAAATCCTAACAAAATCACACTGATCTTTATTAGGAAGATGTTCCTAACTGTTATTCTCCATTTCCTGAACCCTTCACCCAATCCTTTAAGAACTAACAAAAAGTTTTGACCTATTAAGTGGATTAGTTAAATAGGATTCTTATATTTATTAGGAATATGTTCGTAACTGTTATATGAGTGGCATTAAACAAATGTTGTTATAACTATCTCTAGGCTAGCCCTTTCCAAAAAGAAAAAGTTGACTACCTTTCCAGGCCATGAAATCCTCGTCTTTGGCTAAACAGCAAATCCACGGCAAGATCATCTTTTCTGGTTGATACTACAGCCATCTACAGATATTAACTTAATACTACCACTACTTGGTAAATTTCACTTTCTCATACCTAAGTAAAAAGATAGAACAGAATACAATGCCTTCTTATAAAAGCTATAGACTTGTAAATATCAGGAGACTCAAGCTCGAAACTATCTCACCAGTAACTGTCCTGGGTACGACTACCCAAGAGGAGGTATGTATAATGCAGGAATCTAGTCATGCCTCATCCGACCAATTCTCTTTCCCAAAGTAGCAACAAACCTCATACGCAAATCCTTGAAAGTGTGGCAAAACATTGCTATTAAGCTCAGTCAAATGATTGAGAGCTGGAGTAACCACACAGTTGCTAAATATTGTATCCTTGAGATGTTCTGTATTGGAACCCCATATTATTCAGAGATTATCCTTGATTAACCACGCCATATAGAGTAGCGGATAAGGACATGGGAGATACTGAAAGGTCATCATATTAATGTATGTAGCGTGGATTTTCCATGAACAAAGAGAACTTTAATTGGCGCTTACGAGAAACTTTGCAATAAAATTTTAAATTCAAGACCTCTACCTAGAATTTATGCACAATATATCATTATCACTTGTGCCTAATTACCATGATTAAGGGAGATTGACGTAAAAGAAAAACTCCAATTAGAGAACGGTACAAGTTAATAATCCTAAAAGATATAACGACTAAAAGCATCATATCACATTTTGATGCATGTTTGTCTTCATCGATCTTAGGGAGTTAGTTAGGCAGCATACTTTCAGTTACTTAGTAATTGAAGTGTACAAAGCAAACCATAATATCTTCATATGGTATCGATGAAAATATTGTGATCTCCCTCTTCTTCCCATTCTATTCTTTGAGTTAGTTTCTCGGATTAGTCCCTCAGGTAACCTTAATTTCTCTCGAATCTTTGGTTCCTCAGAAACTCTGATTTGAATTCACTTATGCTTCACATTTCTTCTTTTTTCTCTTTTCTTTACTTATTTATAGATTGTTTAAAATCATGAAAGACCAATAAAGTTCTTAACTTTTTTACAGCAAGCTATATATAATACGAAGTAAAAAAATTTCTTTAAAGCGAAGAGAGGGAATTCTTACGTCCAAACATTGAGGGTCTCGTTGTGAATTGTAAAAACACTGAGCAAGGCCTGCTTCAATGGCCATTCGGCGCGGTAATGACCAAGAATGAATTCATTGTCTTTCAAATAACCAGGCAAAGAATGATACTCCACCAGTTGGTACTTCACCTTCTTCCACAATCTCTTTGGCTTCCCTTCCTTTGAATTCGAAGCACACAATGGTTGGTTTTCATATGATCCACGAGCATTTAACGCCTCTTCAAGACTTTCCACACCGTTACCCATCTTCCGCTTAACCATTAACTGTCAAACATCAAAAGTCCTTTAAACACTTAGATAAAGGAACTGATATACAGGGGTGAATCTACCATGTGAGCTACGGGTTTATGTGAACGCAATAGCTTTGCCCAGATCTTGTATGTGTATTAAATTTTACTTAATATCTATAAATATTTAAGTGTGAACCCGGATATTATTGTATATTAACTTGAGGTTATTGTAGGAACCCATAAACTTCAAATTCTGGATCCCTTCTACTGATATAGACCCAAATGCATAAACAATAGAACTTTGAATTTAAAGCAAATACTACAAAATGTTTGGCATTCACCTAAATGAATTTTGGTCGATATTTTAAAATGCTAACTTATCACCATTTTGTTATGAGGAGAATTCTTTTTCTTTTCTTTTTTCTTCAAGAATCCGGTGTCCAAGCCGGACTAATCCTAATTTGCCATAGAAACTCCATTATACCACGCCTTTCCATGGGGTTAACGGGAGAATTCCAATTTATAGTATTTTTCATGTAGTTTTTGTATAATTTAAAAGAGCGAAAGTTCGGCTGAGCTCAAAAGTTATGATCAAATTGATTTTAAAGGAATTAAAGAAAAGCATCTAACAAATTAAATACAAAATAGCACAATACCCAGATTAATAAAATCAAGAATGAAATGTACCTGGAAGAATGGGAGAAGCCTTAAAAAGATGGTGATGCAGATTATTTATTGGACGTATAAAGTATTGGTATAATTAATTCTTCCAAGGGTAACGCCTAAGGGTGGGAGAAGGGAAAAACAGAGGTTATCAATGGAGGTGCAACAAAACAGCAGATATAAAATAATCTTCTTTAGTTTTATTTGGGAAATTAGATTAATTAACCAAAGAATTTTAACTTCTTAAGTACGACAATATAAATTTTGATTTACACAAAATCCTCGAATTCTTTTAAAATTACGTCTCTAAATACTACATAGAATAATAATAATAATAATAATAATAATAATAATAATAATAATAATAATAATAATAATAATAATAATAATGATGATGATGATGATGATGATGATGATGTTATATAAAATAAGGAAAAATAATGAATAACAAATGTTAAAATTACTATCTTAATTATATTATTATTCGATTACTAGAAAAACCTGCAATTCTTTTGAATCAAAATGCAGATTTAGGCTAAGATATGGCATATTAATAAATAAAAATAATTTATATAGATGACACCAATTAGTTGGCAATATATTTACAGGGGCAGGTAGCATACAAGTTACGCGTTCAGCCGAACTCAATAGCTTTTTACTTGAACGTTATATGTGTATAAATTTATTGAATATATATAAATATTAAATTATGAACCCAGTAACTTAAATAATCAATGGATTAAGAGGTATTTCGAACCCATAAATTTTAAATCTTAACTTTGTCTCTGTATATCTAGCCATGTTAATATATTTACCTTAAGTCATATGCAGTGGTGGTACCAAAAAGTTTACCAAGGGGATTCGATATATTAAAAAGATGTCTTGATCCGATATTGGTATGATTGATGGGCGAGATTGTTTGGAGGTACGTCAGATTGTGATAGTAAATATTTTGAGTGCCTTTATGGATTAATAAAAAAAATTGGTTCGTTACCTTACTCCTTAAGCGTAAGAAAAAATAAACAGTAAAATAAACACAACAATCTTTACGTGGAAAATCACTCAGCTAAAAAGATGCAAAAACCACGACCTACCACGTAGGATTTTAGCTTCAACTTCACTAGAACAATGAGCCAAATGTATCGATTACAAATCTGTAACTCAATACTCTACAGTTCTCCTACTTCAACCAATTTACTTACAAGTTACTCTAACTTGCAAAATCAAACACTCACTCCAACTCACTGATTGCATATGACATTTTGATTATAACTCGATTTTCTAAAACATATTTACTAGACTGACTCAAGAAGAACACAAACACTGGTACTCGACTGGAGTATAGAAAATATAGTTCTTCAGTTGATGTGCAAAAACATAATTTCAGCAGTCCAAAAAGATAGTATTTAAGCTCCCTAGACTCCAAGATCTTTTAGGAGTCCTATGCATAATCAGCTTCTCGTTTGATAGGACTCCTACTGCTCCAAGAACTCCACAATTCTTGGGACTCTTGTCTCTCACTTGTGCAAGCATATCTTCTTGGACAACAACCCTTATCATGTTTAGTAGTCTTTTTCAAACGAACTCGGACTTGAGTGACTTTGTGATAAAGTTACTATCTTATAGGAACATGCAATCATCAACCTTAAGGACATGGTTCTTTGAACAGTTAAGCAGCTACGTTGAGGACCTGGTTTTTAGAGCATTTCCTCTAAACAAACTTTGTTAATCATCAAAATCTCAATACTCAACAAATTCTCCCTTTTGATGATGACGAACTTTGTGCACATAAAATCAGGTAATCACCTTATATCTCAACCACCCAGAGCAGGTACAACACGTATACAACAAGCACACAAACAGGCACATCAACACCAATCCTCAACTCTATCTTCCCCCTTTTGGCATCATCGGAAAAAAAAATCAAAAGATGTTAAATAGACTAAGCACAGTTAATGCAAGATTCATGGCTATTTAGGCTACAGCGCAAGCTCAAGAATTATCAAAACAAATAAACTAAGTTGATGATATAACCATATGCGGAACAGTAAAAAATCATAAGAGAATTCATTTAGCCTTGGTCATATGTCTTTTAGATGCACTAATGATTTTTTTTTAATAGAAATCACAAAGAACTTTTGGCAGAGAAGAATTCCAAATTTTATGTATATTGGTTCCTAAAAAAATCTCAAGTTAATATATAATAATAAATAGATTAACGGATTGGGTTCCAAGCTAAAAGTTCTTATATATTTAATGAATTTTTTAATATAAATACATGATCTAAAGTTATTGGGCCCACAGTAACCCGCAGTTATTATGTTGGATCCGCCCCTGACTTTTGGTACCTTTTATTTTTATTTTTATGTTTTTCAATGTTGGTACAAGGTGAATTTAAACGGGAAAAATGATGAGTAAGGATTCATACAATCAATTCCAACTTACGTGGAATTGAGGCTCGATTGTTATAGTAGCCACTACCAATTCTAATTTGTAGAATAAATCCCTTAAACTTAATAGTAATGACTAATAATATAAAATTTAAAAAGCTATTTTCGTATTAGAATAACTAAATTTGGGGTAAAGATGGAATATGGGTACATCAAATCTTATACCCATTTTCTTTTTCCTTCGGGTTGTGCTAGTTGATGTTAGTAATTTGTATTCGAAAAATAAATTCGAAAAACAGAAACAATAAAAAAACAAAAATGTAGAAGGTGCAGAAATTAATTCGAGTCCACCGGCTTTACAGTGTTTCTTTAAGGAACTCTATCCCCTCATAGTACTCAACAACAACAACCCAGTATAATTCAACTAGTGGGGTCTGGGGAGGATAGTGTGTACGCAGACCTTACCCCTACCCTAGGATAGAGAGGCCATTTCCGAAAGACCCTCGGCTCCCTCCCTCCAAGAACTCTCCACCTTGCTCTTGGGGTGACTCGAACTCACAACCTCTTGGTTGGAAGTGGAGGGTGCTCACCACTAGAGCAACCCACTTTTGTCCCTCATAATACTCGAGATTTAGAATTATTTTCTCCAGGATACAACGGATTACACACACCGATGTAATGGTACTTCAAACCCCATTATTTCCGTGAACTCAAAGATCGGTAGCAAATCACATTTAATGTTTCTTTCTTTTATTTTAAAAAATAATGCAGAACAAAGAAGAAGAAATCAAAATTTTTGTAAGGAAAATCTGAGGGAACAACATGGTATTTATCGCCATCAAGTTAGGTTCAAATGGAGAGGTGCTCCTATTTGAACTAAAAACCCAATAGTTGCTCATAGGGGTGTACAAAAAAAATTAATAAACCCTACCAAACCGATAAACCGAGTGAAACCGAAAAAAAAAAATGATTGTGGTTTGGTATTGAAAAATAATTAGTTTAGTTTGGTTTTTACTAAAAAAAAATTAAATCGTAACCAAATTAACTCGATAGTACATTTATACAATTTAAAAAAAATATTTTATACATATAAATATTTATTGTAATGTAATTTATAAATATTTCTTAAACGGTTTCACAGTTTTATCTTTTAACGTATTATTTCAAGTTTGGACTTAACATTCTTGAATGGAAAATAAATTTTATAGCCCATAAATATAGTAACTCAAACAAATTTCAAATCAATACTAATGCTAACAAAAGAAATTCAATTCAACACTAGGAATGATGATAGTGCTGGATATCTATTTTTTTAGTTTTACATTAGTTTATAATAAAAGTGCATAACTTAGTTTATCTTTTCTTTAGTGCTTAGTTACGTAATTAATAGTATTTATTAGAATACATGTTTTAGCATGACCTATATAGTATTTTTAGAATATGTTAATTTTAATTATGGTTTATTAATGAGCAATATTTGCTTTATGTAATTTTATTATCTTTATTATTGAATATTTTAGTATAATGCTATGACGTATCTCATATTATTATGTTATTTTCTTGAAAAATATATTATATAGTTGTATCTTACTAAGAGAAAAAAAATATTTGGAGCACAAATTACATATTTTGTGCTATAAAAACTTTACCGAAAAAAGAACTCAAAAATCTCGAAAAATCGAAGACTGAAAAACCCAACTTTTATTAATTTGATTTGGTTTATAGATTTCAAAACCAGATACTATTAGTTTGATTTGGTTATTAAAAAATTCAAACTAACCCCAGTTATCTACATCTTGCTTATTCAAAGGTAAAAACTAAAAATATCATATTCAAAGGTTGGCAACTTTGGCAAATATCTGCGCTCACGTGTCGATGGTCCTGTGCAAAGTATAGCCGGCCGGCAGCAGCCTTAGTTAGACCATTCTATTGTGATTTTGTAAGTAAAAGGATCGATTTTGTAAGTCTTTTTTTTTCTTCTTATCACATTAAACTATCGATTTTTGACTGTACAGTAGACATAGTCTCTCTTTTTTTCCTTTTTTTCTTATCACAATAGACATTAGAATCCCAATTAATCGTAATTTGTGCTACTTTATTAAAGGAAAAAATACTCCTTACTAGAATCCTTCTTCGTAATTAGAGTTCAAACTCAAAACCTCTAATTAAAAGTGAACGAAATTTTATTCATTCCCTTGACTTTTTATATTAGACATAGTCATGCACGTTGAATCCTTCCAAAAGTTGTATGCTTTGGCTTCACTATGTGGCTGAGTTGGGAGAGTTATTATACACTTCATGATAAGCAATTAATTAAGCAAACAATGGATTTCATTAGAACAAAGTTTAAATGTATCCATTAAAGGTGTTGCATTGACTTGGCCCTTAAATTGTGGCATTCAGTTTGTTATCTAGATTAATTAAATTTAACTATGTGTCTGTTAAAACTTAACATAATACCATATACTACAACCATAAAGAAACCTCTAAAAAACCTCATTTTAAAGATTTTTTATTACTTCAAGGACGTTTAGAGTGGGTTAAAAGCCTCATTTTGTATAATAGGAATGTTAGAGCTATAATATGTTAATCAGTAAACTAATACCTTAGCTATAGTGAGGGGTACCTTCTAGCTTGCTATGCACCAATATAGTTAAACTATAGTTGACATATGATGCCCATCTGACATTTATTTTAAGTAACTATTAGCCCAATTGCATTGTAAAACATTACAATCTCTGTCAGATCCATATCAAGAAATCGTTGACGATATCAGAC